CAAGGCTACAGTAATCAAAACAGCATGGTACTGGTACCAAAACAGAGATATAGACCAATGGAACAGAACAGAGGCATCGGAGGCATCACAACATATCTACAACCATACAATCTTTGATAAACCTGGCAAAAACAAGCAGTGGGGAAAGGATTCCCTATTTAATAAATGGTGTTGGGAAAACTGGTTAGCTATGTGCAGAAAGCAGAAACTAGACCCCTTCCTGACACCTTACACTAAAATTAACTCCAGATGGATTAAAGACTTAAACATAAGACCTGGCACCATAAAAACCCTAGAAGAAAATCTAGGCAAAACCATCCAGGACATAGAAGTAGGCAAGGACTTCATGAACAAAACACCAAAAGCGTTGGCAACAAAAGCCAAAATAGACAAATGGGACCTAATCAAAGTCCACAGCTTCTGCACGGCAAAAGAAACAGTCACTAGAGTGAATTGGCAACCAACAGAATGGGAAAAATTTTTTGCAGTTTACCCATCTGACAAAGGGCTGATATCCAGAATTTACAAAGAACTCAAACAGATTTAAAGGAAAAAAACAAGCCCATTCAAAAATGGGCAAAGGATATGAACAAACACATTACAAAAGAAGACATACACGAGGCCAACAAACATATGAAAAAATGCTCATCATCAGTGGTCATTAGAGAGATGCAAATCAAAACCACATTGTGATACCATCTCATGCCAGTTAGAATGGCAATCATTAAAAAATCTGGAGACAGCAGATGCTGGAGAGGATGTGGAGAAATAGGAACACTTTTACACTGTTGGTGGGAGTGTAAATTAGTTCAACCATTGTGGAAGACAGTGTGGTGATTCCTCAAGGCCTTAGAAATGGAAATTCCATTTGACCCAGCAATCCCATTACCGGGTATATATCCAAAGGACTATAAATCATTCTACTATAAGGACACATGCACACGAATGTTCATTGCAGCACTGTTTACAATAGCAAAGACCTGGAACCAACCCAAATGCCCATCGATGATAGACTGGACTGGGAAAAATGTGGCACATATACACCATGGAATATTATGCAGCAATCAGAAATGATGAGTTTGTGTCGTTTGTAGGGACATGGATGAATCTGGAGAAAATAATTCTCAGCAAACTGACACAGGAACAGAAAATGAAATACCACATATTCTCACTCATAGGGGGGTGAGGAAAAATGAGAATACATGAACACAGGGAAGTGGGTACTACACACTGGGGTCTATTGGTGGGAATAGGGGAGGGACAGTGGTGGGGGGGGAGCTGGGGAGGGATAGCCTGGGGAGAAATGCCAAATGTGGGTGAAGGGGAGGAAGGCAGCAAAACACACTGCCCTGTGTGTACCTTTGCAACTATCTTGCACGTTCTGCACATGTACCCCAAAACCTAAAATGCAATTAAAAAAAAAAGAAAGCCTTGTGAAGAGGAATTCTCTTTCAGACTATGATCAAAAGACATTTGTTGAGCAATCAAAATTAACCATCGCTATATACAACCACTGAGCTTATAACCATTGCTAATCATAAGACAGTGGCTCCAATTTTGTATAAAAGGTCAGAAAATTGAGATGAGAAGTATCTGGTATAATTGTTTCTTAGATTGGGAAATAGGAGCTTATGGGTCTGGGTTCTAGTCTGGTTTTTCCATTAATTTTTTTGTAGACTACAAGAAATAGCATCTGCCTGGGTCACTGTTTTCTCATCTGCAAGCAAGAGAGGTGAGTAAGAGCATCTCTAATCGTCCCACCAGCTCTCCTTCCAGATCCCTCCAGCTTGCTATGTTCATAATGACGATTAAGAGTTGTTAAGAAAAAAACAAAAATACATGTCAATAGAGAAATCATGACAGAAACTAAGCTATGAATATTCAGGGACATGAGAAAGTGCTCATGACATACTTTTAAGTAAAAAAAGCAATTTACAAATTGTATGCAGTGTAACCAATTGCACGTAAGCATACAGGAGGCCATTTGCTTCCCTGATTAAGCACATTTTGCAATCAAATTATATCTATGTTTGTGTGTATATGTATGTGTTATAGACACAGTTCATACATATGGAAAAACAACCACACTAAGACAAAGCAATTATTAGCAATGGTGGTATTGGAATTACTACTATTTTATTCTTATACTTTTTAGTAAAGTACAGATTTTACATTTTTAACTGGAAAAATTATCTTGTTAATGTTTTCTTCTGTTTATTAAATGAATATATGTACATTCTAATATGGCTAATAATATGTCATACCAATATAATTGGAATTAAAATGATAGTTGCCCATTCAGGACTATACTGGAACTTTGTAGCTATCAAATGAGCTATACCTTGTACAAATAAAGTCCAAGTGATTTCCTATTTTGTTTTAAATTATTGGAATTCTGCTTCCAGTGATAATTACAGGCAAGCACCACTAAGTCTGGCACTATTAACCTGCACAAGCGCTGCCAGGGGATTTTTCTCCTCCCTCCTTCTGAGAGCTCATCTCTGTGCTCCTCATTTGGACACAGATCCTGCCTCTTCCCTACCCATGGTTGCAGCCCTTGCATGTTTCACTCCTGTAAATATTTAACAAGCAGTGGGACAGTTTCATTCTATCACCAACCAGCTTTAGTCAAGCTGGTAAGGGAAAATTGAAACCTACAATTAGATTGAACAAGGGCAACTGCAGTTCATAGGAGACAACTTGGTACTGTCAATCCAGATAACAAGGCAGGTAACTTTTTGGCACAATAAGCTGCAAAAGCTAGGTAAAAGATGAGCTTTTATACTGACAAATGTTCTTTCTTTTTTTTTTTTAAAAAAAAAAAAGGAGGCCATGTGTGGTGGCTCATGACTGTAGTCCCAGCAGCACTTTGGGAGGCCAAGGCAGGCAGATCAATTGAGATCAGGAGGTGGAGACCAGCCTGGCCAACATGGTGAAACTCCACCTCTACCAAAAAAATGCAAAAATTAGCCAGGCATGGTGGCATGCCCCTGTAGTCCCAGCTACTAGGGAGGCTGAGGTGGGAGAATCACTTGAACCTGGAAGGGCAGAGGTTGAAGTGAGCCAAGAGCACACTACTGCTTTCCAGCCTGGGCAACAGAGCAAGACCCTGTCTCAAATAAATAAATAAAAATTTTAAAGTTTTAAAAAGTGACATTAAGAGATCCATATGCAGAGTCAACAAAAAGAAAAAAATCTAAATTAAAAAAATCAAATAAAAAAATGTGACATTAAGAGAAGAAGAAATATGGTGAAGTACTGTCTGAAATTAAGACCTACTCATGAGTTTTTACCTGACTCTACCCTCACACTATGTAAAGTTCCTCCATTCTCTCCACTCATTACTGGTCACTTCCAACACACGGAATGAGTAGGATGCTAACAACTCAAACGTTTTGAAAAAGGTTGAGGAACATGCCACCTCCTCACCCCTGCAACCCAAGAGTAACCAAAAACTTCAAAGGGAGGAATAAATTAATCATACATTACTGGAGCACGAAAATGGGGAAGGGGAAATTGATAGTTCTTGTTGTTGTCATAATATGAGTTTTGTTGAAGATAATTAGTTTAATTTTATCTTTGTAATCCTATTACTGTTGCTGGCATTTGGCTTAGAAAAGGCTAGTGACAAAATTCTGCTGATGAGACTTGACTCAGGAGAAGTGTGATGAGAGCTTTGGGGACACACAGGAAGAAATGGTCTAGCTTCCTTAAGACATTGACTGCATGCGACTCTTAGAACTGCTGCAGCCAACTTCCACCAGGCTGAAAGCTGAGACAGCACTAATGATAACAGACTCGAGAGACAGAACAAAAAAATCAGGGCCTTGCTAGCATTGCTGAGCCACTGAATCAATGAAGCCTGAAGCTTCTGGACTTTGAGTTAGGGAAGGTAACGCATTTCCTTATTGTTTTACCCACCGTGAGTTGGGGAAGAGGAAGAGGTCTAGGGAATGATTCTCTGTGGGGTGACAGGAATATTCACAGGCACAACCTGAAAGGGTGAACAGTGATGGAGGTCATGGACACGGGGTGGAGCAAGTTAGGTAGACTGGGTATCCCCAGCCCTTTGCCTCCCTGACTAAACACACTTTGCAATGAAAGCAAAGCTAAAAGAAAGAACTTTCCTTGGGGTTTCACATGTGTTTACTTAGGGTTACAAAGAATTCAGACTATATACTCATGTGTACAAAGAAGATGTAGTTAATTTCCTATAGGCCTCCATCCTCTCTAGATACTTGCTAATTAACTCACTAATTAAAGTTTCTGTCTCTTAGGGTTTAAACATTCTCCTTTTGGTTAAGTAATAAGATTATTTAAACTCCAATTTCCTATGGGGCCTGGCATAAATCATACATTTTTGGATGACATAGTCTCTGGGTAAATTCTCAGCCTTCAAGAGTGCTGCTCTGCCATCTTTCTCCTTCCTAAGAGATGGAACAGGAGCCTTACAGTGTTCCTGCAGTGGGTATCTTCTGAAGCTTGCTGCTATAGGAGTGGCTCATCTGATCTATACCCTTAACTGGTAACCACTGTGTTGTCCCATTTCCTATAGCCTTCTCGGGTCTTGCACTGGTACTCATCCCTGGAGTCTGGGTCCCAGCTACCTGCACCTTTATAAAAACCCTACTCATGGGAGCTTCTTAATCCTGTCGGTACTCTGGCTCTCCCAGTACTTCTCATTGCTCGAAGAGGGCACACAGGCATTCTTGCAGGCAGGGTGAGGCTTTGGTGGAGCCAGGAGAACTGCCCCAGGCTCACCTGTCCCATCAGCTCCTCCTGCTTCATTACTCTGATGCCATGTGGACATGGAGCCAAGTAAAACACCAGGATCCCCAGGTGGCTTCTGCCTCCTCCAGCTTTTCTTGGGAAAGCAGCCCTGAGCCTGAGGGTTGTGGATGCCTCAATAGTGACTCACTTTAATGTTCCTATGTTTCCATTAGCTCAAGGCTTGGGCTTCAGAAGGTAAGAAAATGAAGATTCTAGCCTCTAAAACTTACCTTTGATTCCTTTGTCATTTTCATAAATTTGAAAGGGTTGAAAATTTGGGGCTTCTCATTTTTCCATCTTTTTTCACAGGCCTCCTTCCACCTAAGTCCCATCAAACATTGGTCTGTTAAAGAAGGGAGCTTTAGAACTTAGAAATACCATCTCTATCTCCATAAAATTTGCCCTTAAATCCTTCTAAACTTACAAAATTGGTTAAGCAAAAAACCCTAAGAATTGAAATTTAAATGAATTTTTTAGGCAGGACCACCTTTTTCTCATGTGGTACAATGAACCTCAAGGTTGCTTAGAGGGAGGAGGCCACTGAGTATTAGACTATAGGAAAAAGTGACAATAAATCAACTCCATCTATCTATATCTAATATATATATATAAAATGTACAATTTTAGTATATATATATATTTGATTAGTCAGACTACAGAAAAATGGGGTTAGAGCAGTGGTGAGAATTAATGATGGGGAATGAATGGAGACTCGTGGTGTTATCCTATCACCTACCTAGTTAGACAGGGTACAGTGCCTGTTCTTTCTGCTCCTCTGCAGCCCTATTGCCAGGATAGGAAACACAGGTTATCTGAGCTGTTGATCAGCTATATATACTTCTTGGATGCTTTGATGAACTGTTATAATTGTTTTGCAGGTTTCTATTTCTCTCCACTGTTATATTAAGGAATTAAATTTAAAATGCTACAGATAATCTTTGAATAAATACAATTTCAATGAAAAGGGGTCCATAACCCTGTCTAATTAAACCTTTCTATTCTCTGACATAGTTTCAATAAAATATTTGATCTTCTGCAATGACTCCAATAATTGGTTACAGTTGTTCACTGAAACTCAAATTCCCTTCCCATTACCAGATGAGAAGCAGAGCCTGCGTCTGCCCCAGGACACACTAGGGCAAACACATTAGCTAGACTGAAAGAGGATTGTTGTTCTCAGCTGGGATCTGAAAAAAGGTTCCATCATCTCAAAAACCAAATACAGAAAGCTAATACATTAATTTTTAATGAAGCAAATGTACCTAACAGGAGGATGGATGCTTGTGCTCAGTGAGTACAGCTTCTCCCTGAAGACAATTTTCTTGGGATACTAAATTATTATCAGAATGTTGTTTGGTGAGCATGGCATTACAGCAAGTGGAACTAATTGGGTAATCCTAATGCTTATTGATGCTGGGGTGGGTTCATTGCAGCACCTCTAGGGACACAGCTATCCATTAGGTCAGTGGATCCCACTCCTGAGGTGGGGCACTTTCTGTCCTGGACATTTTGGAGATACACTGCTGTCATAAGAGTCTTTGAATCTAGCTTTTCTTTCATATATATATTTAAACAACAGTTTCCAACATTTCCCTCCCATTTATTTATTTCAGAAAACTTAGACAAAGCAAAATACAAAATAAAAACTACCCTTCCAGAGACAACCAGTATTAAGATCCTGGGCATTCTCTCAGACTCTTCTGTTTTCATCAGTTGTCATTCTAACTTTTTCTGCACTCAGACACCCCAATCTCTACACCCAAGTATGGGTCCCAGCCCTAGGTAAGGGCCTGGGGAAAGGGCAGAGGATGCACTCAGAGCACACAATTCAGCACCTTCTCAAAGGCACAATTCACACTTGCCAAATACCATGGCAGCAGTTTGAGCAGCCAGCAGTGTGCCCCATTAGAACACAACAGACACTCTGGGAGTTTGCTTTGCCCATGTTCCCTCATAAATGAAATTTTCATCCCATATTCATGGATAGAAGAATTGGTATTGTTAAGATGCTCATACTACCCAACATGATCTAGAGATTCAATGCAATCTGTAGTAAAATTTCAATGACATTTTTCAGAGAAGTACAAGAAACCCTAAAATTTGTATAGAATCACAAAAGATGGGCCAGGAGTGGTGGCTCATGCCTGTAATCCCAACACTTTGGGAGGCCAAGGCAAGTGGATCACAAGGTCAGGAGATCAAGAACATCCTGGCTAACACAGTGAAACCTCATCTCTACTATAAATACAAAAAGTTATCTGGGCATGGTGGCACATACCTGTAGTCCCAGCTACTCAGGAGGCTGAGGCAGGAGAATCGTTTGAACCTGGGAAGTGGATGTTTCAGTGAGCCAAGTGCACCCCTACGCTCCAGCCTGGGCGACAGAGCGAGACTCCATCTAAAAAAAAAAAAAATCACAAAAGACACCAAAACCAATGCAATATTGAGCAAGCAAAGCAAAGCTAGAGGTGTCACACATCCTAATTTCAAAATATCTTACAAAGCTACAATAATCACCATATAGTATTGGTATGAAAACAGACATATAGACCAATGGAATGGAAGAGAAAGCCCAGAAATAAACTCAAACTCATAGATATATGGTTAGTTAATCTATGTTACTGGAAAACTGGGTATCCAAAAGCAAAAGAATAAAATTTGGGAGAAATGTGGAGCAAGATGGCAGAATAGAAGACTCCACCAATCATTGCCCCCTCAAGGACACCAATTTAACAACTATCTACATAGAAAAAAAAAAACACCTATATAAGAATGAAAAATCAGTTAAATACTCATAGTGCCTGGTTTTCATATTGCTGAAAGAGGAACTGAAAAGATAGAAAAAGCAACCCTGAATTGCCAACACTACCCCTTTCCACCCCCTTCAGTGGCAGAATGGCTCTGACAAGAGGAGGGAGAACACAGCAATTTTGAGTCATTGAACTCAGTACTGTCCTGTTAGAGCAGAAGGGAACACTGGACCAAACTTAGCTGATGCTTGCCGACCAAAGGAGCATTTACACCAGCACTAATCAGGGGAAATCACCAATCCCAGCAGTCTGAACTTGAGTTCCTGCAAACCTTGCCACCTTGTGCTGCAGAACACTGTATTGCTAAGTGAACTTGAAATGCAGTCTAAGCTATAAGAATGGCAACTCCTGGGTGAGTTCTAGTGCTGAACTATGCACAAAAACAGTGGCCTGGGAGGGGGCAAGTGTCATACTGAGACACCAACCAGGGCAGCTAAGGGAGTGCTGGCATCATCCCTCCCCTAACTCCAAGTTACATAGTTTCTGGCTCCAAAAGAGACCCGCTTCTTCTATTTGAAGAGAGGATAGGGAAGAGTGGCAAGGACTTTGTCTTGCATCTTGGATACCAGCTTAACCACAGCAGGATAAAACACTGGCGAGAGTTGTGAGGCCCCCATTCCAGGCCCTAGCTCCCAGATGACATTTCTAGACATACCATAAGCCAGAGGGAACCTGCTACCTTTCCATTGCCTTGGGAAGGAGAGGAGAAGGAGGAGTGGGAAGGATGTTGTCTTGCATCTCAGATACCAGTTCAACCACAACAGGATAGAGCTTGGGTGAGAAGCATAAGGCCCCCTTTTCAGGTCCTGGCTCATGGATAGTTCTAGACATACCCTAGGCCAAAAGGGATCCTTCTCCCTTGAAGGGAAGAACCCAGTCCTGGCAGCATTTATCACCTTTTAACCAAAGAGCTCTTAGGCTTTGGATAACCAGCAGCAATACCCAGCTACTAAGTCAAGAAGCTTGGGCAAGATACTAAGTCTTGCTGGCTTCAGGTGAGACTCAGCACATTCCCAGATGTGGTAGCTTTGGGGCAAGACCCCATCCATATGAGAAATGCAGAGGCAAAAATAAAGAGGACTTTGTCTTGCATCTTAATTACCAGCTCAGCCACAGGAACATAAAGCACAAAGTGGGCCCTAGGCATCCTCAATTCTAGGACTTGGCTCTTGGACAGCATTTTTGGACCTGCCCTGGGTGAGAGGGGAACCTGCTGCTCAAAAGGGTGAGTCCCAGGTCAGACAGCATTCACCACAAGCTGACTGGAAAGTCCTTGGGCCTTAAGGGAACACCAGCAGTAGTCTCACAGTACTTCCTGTGGGTCTGTGGTAGCAATGGCCACGAGTGAGGCTCCTCTACTTTCAGAAAGTGGAGGGAAGAATGAATTGTATCTTGTGGTTTGAGTGCCAGCTCAGTCACAGTACAATGGAACACCAGGTAGACTTCTAATGATTTTGACTCTAGTCCCTGGCTCCGGAACAGCATCTGTTGATCTACCCAGGGCTTAGGGGTACTCACCACTCTGAAGGGAAGGACACAGGTCTGGCTGGCTTTCCTACCTGTCGATCATAAAACCCCAGGGCCTTCAGTGAACATAAGTAGTATCCAGGGAGTGGTTACAGCAGGACTTGGGCAAGACCCAGTGCTGTGCTGCCTTCAGGTATGACCCATCACAGTCATCCCTAGCTTCAGTGGCTCAGGACACAGAGGGAGATTTTGTTTGGAAGAAAGTAAGGGAAGAGAGCAAGAGTCTCTTTCTGGTAATCCAGATAATTCTCCTGGATCTTGTCCAAGACCCTCAAGGCAGTACCTTTATGAGTCTGCAAGAATCACAATGTTAGTGGGCTTGGGGTTCCCCCTAAAGCAGCTACAGCTTAGAACACAACAGCCAAGTCCCTTCAAACACCTGGAAGGCCTTTCCAAGAAGGACAGATACAAACAAGTCCAGACTGTGAAGATCAAAATAAATAACATCATCGATGCTCAGATGCCAAAGAACATCCACGAGTATCAACACAATCCAGGAAAACATGACCTCACCAAATGAACTAAATAAGGCACCAGGGACCAATCCTGGAGAAACAGAGATGTGTGATTTTTCAGACACAGAATTCAAAATAGCTGTGTTGAGGAAACTCAAAGAAATCCAAGATAACACAGAGACGAAATTCAGAATTCAATCAGATAAATTTAACAAAGAGATGAAAATAATTAAAAAGAATCAAGCAGAAAATATGGAGCTGAAAAACACAATTGGCATCCTGAGGAAGGCATCAGAGTCCTTTAGTTGCAGAACTGCTCAAGCAGAAGAATTAGTGAGCTTGAAGACAGGCTATTTGAAAATACACCATTAGAAGAGACACAAGAAAGAAGAATAAAAAACAATGAATCACACCTACAGGATCTAGAAAATAGCCTCAAAAGGGTAAATCTAAGAGACATTGGCCTTAAAGAGGAGGTAGATAAAGAGGCAAAAGTAGAAAGTTTATTCAAAGGGAAAATAACAGGCCAGGCGCAGTGGCTCACACCTGTAATCCCAGCACTTTGGGAGGCAAAGGTGGGCAGATCACTTGAGGTCAGGAGTTTGAGACCAGCCTGGCCAACATAGTGAGACCCTGTCTCTACTAAAAATACAAAAATTGGCCAGGTATAGTGGCATGTACCTATAATTCCAGGTACTCAGAAGGCTAAGGTATGAGAATCTCTTGAATCCAGGAAGAGGAAGTTGTAGTAAGCTGAGATTGTGCCACTGCATTTCAGCCTGGGCGACAGAGCAAGACTCCATCAAATCAAACAAACAAAAAAAATAAAGGGGAAATAACAGAGAATATCCCAAACTTAGAGAAAAATATCAATATCCAAGTACAGGAAGGTTGTGGAATACATCTTAAGCAAAGAAGATTTAACCCAAAAAAGACTACTTTAAGGCATTTAATTAGTAAACTCCCAAAGGTCAAAGATACAGATAGGATCCTAAAAGCAGCAAGAGAAAAGAAACAAATAACACACAATGGAGCTCCAATATATCTAGCAGCAGACTTTTCAGTGGAAACCTTATGGGCCTGGGAAGAGTGGTATGACATATTTAATATGTTGAAGGAAAAAAAAACTTTTACTCTAGAATAGTGTGTCTGGTGAAAAATATCTTTCAAACCTCAAAGAGAATAAAGACTTTCCCAAATGAACAAAATCTGAGGGATTTCATCAATATCATACCTGTCCTACAAGAAATGCTAAAGGGAGTATTTCAGTCAGAAAGAAAAGGATGCTGCTGAGCAATAAATAATCACCTGAAAGTACAAAACACACTGGCAATAGCAAGTACACAGAAAAACGCAGAGTATTATAACACTAAAAATGTGGTGTGTAAACTATTCTTACCCTAAGTAGAAAGACTAAATAACAAACCAGTCAAAAATAATAACTACAACAACTTTTCAAAACATAGTACAATAAGATATAAATAGAAACAACAAGAAGTTAAAAAGTTGGGGGCTAAAGTTAAGGCATACAGTCCTTAGTTTTCTTTTGGCTTCTTTGTGTACTTATGCAAATAATGCTAAGTGGTTATCACATTAAGACAATGGGTTATCAAATAATCTTTACAAGCTTCATGGTAACATCAAAGCAAAAAGCATAAAATGGATACACCAAAAAAAAAAAAAAAAAGCAAGAAACTAAATCACATAACCAGAGAAAATCACCTTCACTAGAGGAAAGCAGGAGAAAAAGAAAAAAGGAAGAAAAGACCAGAAAGCAAAGAATAAAATGACAGGAGTAAGTCCTTACTTATCAATAATAACATTGAATGCAAATGGACTAAACTCTTCAATCAAAACACATAGACCAACTGAATAAATGAAGAAACAAGACCCAATGATCTGTTGCCTGCAAGAAACACACTTGCCCTGTGTAGACACATACAGACTGAAAATAAAGGAATGGAAAAAGATATTCCATGCCAATAGAAATCAAAAAAGAGCAAGAGTCATTATACTTACATTAGATGAAATAGATTTCAAGATAAAAACTATAAGAAGAGACAAAGATCACTCTATAATGATAAAAGAGTCAATTCAGCAAGAGAGTATAATAATGTTAAATACATATGTACTCAGCCAGGCACGGTGGCTCACACCTGAAATCCCAGCAATTTGGGAGGCCGAGGTGGGTGGATCATATGAGGTCAGGAGTTTGAGACGAGCCTGGCCAAAATGATGAAACCCGCTCTCTACCAAAACCACAAAAATTAGCTGGGCGTGGTGATGCGTGCTGTAATCAGCTACTCAGGAGGCTGAGACAGGAGAATCACTTGAACCCAGGAGGTAGAGGTTGCAGTGAGCCTAGATTATGCCACTGCACTCCAGCCTGGGTGACAGAGCAATACTCTCTCTCTCTCTCTCTCTCTCTCTCTCTCTCTCTCTCTCTCTATATATATATATATATATATATATATATATATATATGGAATAAAACCACATGGAATAAAACTAGAAATCACACCACTTCTATTCAATATAGTATTGGAAGTTCTAGCCAGCACAATCAAGCAAGAAAAAGAAATAAAGGATATTCAATTAGGAAAGGA